GCCAATCAGCGTGTGGTACCTATAATCACTCGCTTACTATTACTACTTACAATGATGTAGAAAATGATATTCTGAAAAGAGAATAAAATACACTCATAACAATCTGAACTAAAGGTACGTTACTATGTTACTACAATTTTGATTTTTTAAGTTTTAGATTTACTACAGGTTTAAATAAATTATCAGCTATAAATTACGATTCAAATTTAGATTCTCTAAATTCACTTATAAATCAATGGTCAGTCCGCTATCTAACTCCTTTAGGAAAAATTACTGTTCTGAAGTCTTTGATTATTCCAAAATTAACTCATCTGTTTATTTCGCTTCCAGATGTAGACACATCCTTTATAAAATCACTCAATACAAAATTTTTCAAATTCATCTGGAATGACAAACCCGATAAAATTAGTAGAAAATCTATTAAACAATCTTATGAAGAAGGTGGTTTGAACATGGTAGATTTAGGTAAATTTGTAATTTGGTTAAAATCAACTTGGATAAAACGACTTGTTACGTCAGAGAGTAAGTGGGTATTATTGAATGTAGTACTGGTCTTAAACGTGATCTCATAACAGTACTTGGCAATTCGTATATAGAACCGAACGTGGAAGATATTAAAAATCATTTCTGGAAAGATGTCTTAAAATGTTGGATTCAAATTAACGAAAAAAATAAGCCGAAAGACAAAGCAAATTTTGGTAAAAGAGTAATTTGGCGAAATCATTCTATAAAACTTGATAATAAATCTATGTTTTACTCCAGATATTTTAACCATAATATTATTTTTATCTCCGTTCTCTGGAATGAAGATGGAGATTTTGTAAATTTTAATGAGTTCCAACATAAATATCCTAGTTTACAAACAAATTTTTTAGAATACATCTCTTTAATAAAAGCAATGAAATCATATATGAATACGATTAATATAGAAGGTCCTACTACAACTATATGTCGCCCTTTTGTCCCGTTTCATTTAGAACTACTGTTTGAGAAAAATAAAGGCAGTAGCCATATTTATGATATATTAAGAGAAAATATTTCTATAAAATCACAAATTAAATATCATACGTTAGGCTATAGAGTGTGTGATTGGAGTAAAAACTATATGCTTCATTTTAATATTTCAAAGAATTCCAAGATAAACTGGTTTCAATATCGTATTTTACACCGTATACTACCCGTAAATTATTTTCTTCATAAAATAAAGAGTCTTGTACCTTTTGCCACCAACAACCTGAAACTTTAGAACATCTCTTCTTTGATTGTTCATATATTAAAATACTCTGGGATAAACTTATGAATATTATCAATGAAACTACTATTCTCCATATGGATGTATTAACTTTAGAAATTATTATGTTTGGCTCAAATTCTTTAATTGTACCTCTAAATTGGCTTCTTCTGCATTCGAAATTTTTCATTTATAGGTCAAGATTTTTAAAAATAATACCAACTTTCCCAGCTCTATAATTAACTATCTCATCGATAATATTGTAGTTGAAAGATATCTCCAAATGAAAATAAATAACGAAACTTAAA